AATTATTTAAGGGTTAATAAATAAGATCCAGTTGATTTTGTACTTCTTGGATGTTTAAATCAATACTAATACTCAAATTAGGGTGTATATTTTCTCTGGGATAACGCCAAAAAGTTAATCGTAATTATATACAAATTTAAACTTTTGTCCATCTTGAAACAGTAAATAATAATTCATAGCAAATTATTCTATTACCAACATATTGATTTATTTAAGAATTATGTAATATATTTTACAATTTTAACGGAATTAAAATAAATTATAATAAAGTATCTAATTAAAATAATAATATTGAGTTTAAATAAGAAAATATTATCTTCTTTAGAATTTTTCTTCACGAAAGTTATAAAATCCCTTCTTCTTCAACAGGTAGGTACACTTAAGTACTCATAAAGTACAAATTAAACATCATTCTCACTAAATTTTACCTGTTATGGCGACATTTAATTTTATGATTGTTCCGTGCATTTGTCCTTGTAGTGGCGACAGTAGCATCGCCCAAAAAGCAGGTGCACTACCCTAAAAAAACCGCCTACCTCACTTATAAATAATTTGTCTGCATTCAAGATTTTTATATTGTATGCATTGAATAGGCCATTAAGTCACTTTTGTTGTTCGGTCTATAGATATGAATAATATAATAATGTTCCTTTGAAGAGTTATTTGTGAAGTCAAATATTGTAAGCGTCTGTATGTTTTTTAAGAAAACATAATGTCAAGTGATTTAATAGTAGAGCCAAACGCGTATGGCGAGATGCTTGGTGTATTCACTATTTGGTATCATTCTATTAACTTCAAAAGTATTTTGGGTTTATTAAAAATTCAAGAATATTATTAAAAAAAGGTTCAGTATTATGTCTTTCGTCGAATACTAACTTCATATTTCTCCGCATTAATATAAATACAGTATGGTGTTATTAATTAAATAGTAAAGTAAAGTAATTTTATTTCAAGGACTTTAGGAAAAATTATTATGCATATCCCCAAGGGATTCCTATAAGAAGAATTATCCTTACCCATTCTAAACGAAAAACAATTTAACTCGCTATGATGTATTTTTGCTTAAAAATTTAATTTTTTTTTATATATTCGACCTTTTCCACAATACACAACTGTAATTTAACTGCAAAACATAATTTATAGGCAAATTGCCTTCTATTTAGTTATTTTTCTTTGCGTTTGATGAAGAAAACGGTATTCTAAGGAAAAGTTATTAATGAGTGATCCATTGATGTTAAAATGTTTTTTACTCTTGAACTAATTTTTAAAAGTAGTAGTTAATTTCAAAATAGGAAGGAAAAAAGAAAAAATTTAATTAAATATATCTCAAATATCTTGTTTATAGTAATTCTCTAATATGCCATGACACTTAAAATACTATAAACTTTAAATATAAAATATTCTAATATGCTAATTTTTGTTTTTATCAAAGTATTTAATTTTTTAAAAAGTGTCATTTATCGTAATAATTATAAAAATTAATAACTCGGTGGAGATAATAAAACAAACTATAATCTGTGGAACAAATTTCGAGCACCAGCGTCTCGCACGAATGAGCTTAGGTAAACACTAAAATTAATTGGTTACCGAGTAAAAAAATAAACAATACCTAATGGGCATGCCTTACAACAGTAACCGACCATGAAACTGTAACTACTCTTTAGCAATAATGTGTCACACGTACACACGTGAGAGTGGGGCGTATCATTGCAGACCCTGTGGGTAACAATATTATGCCTGTGTGTGAGGTGTAACGACTAACTAACAATTGCCTTTTTTTTTTAAAAAACGGAAATGACTAAGACCGTTGTCCCACAGCACCAGTAAGGAAAATTACTTATACGCTCGTTGTTCTGGTTCGTATAACTTCCCATGGAATATTGTAATAATTATGACAACGATAATTATACACTTTTCATTAATAAAAATAATAACGATGTTCAATTAAGTCTGTCTGAAAAACTGTCTAGTGGTTTTCTGTTGTGAGTGGAAAAGAAATGAAACTATTTTTACATTTTAGGTTGATATGAGAGACACTAACGAGAAGTTTCTTTGTTGTTTGCAGTTTGAAACTTTAGCAAATTAATTAATATTTTATACTTTATAACTGATGGAAGTAATTATTTCAAAATCATTAGTTAATCCCACTGCAATCTCAACAAAAATATTGGCAATATAGTTAACGATAAACGCTAATTAGTTTCAGTAGAGTCTATAAACGTACCCCTTGTTCGAATAGATATAATTGATGCAGCCCACTAAGTAGTACGCAAAATAACGACATCTGCCCCAGAACGGAGAAAATGTAGTGCAGTTCTAATGTAATTGTATTTTTTCTTTATAATATAGTTGAAAAGAAACACGTAATAGTGTTCATTTATTATAAAAGTTTGTGTAGCCAATAAGTCTCATAATTAGATCTCACTTACTGGTCGACCCTCTTGATTTATATTGAATAGGTTTTGTTTATTTACGGATAGACTTTGTTAATCAAAAAGCAGATATCAACAGCCAACGTACCCTAATCAAACTACTGTCCATGTATTGCTACATGTGTTGCAGACGTTTAATGGTCTCTGGAGAGAATCTCGAGTCACAAAAGACATTTATCCGATGCGTTCATATTGATACCCACGGCAAGTAAGAAGCAAACCAATTGTACTCGCGAAACACATCCGAATAATTGAACTCAGATGCGGAACTTCGAACAACACTTTGAACTGCAATGGAATTTAGTCGTAATCGATGACATTATTTTTATTATTTTGTTCACTCAGTCATTATTACAAGTGAATTATGACCTGGTAACTAACAGCGACTTACCCTTATAAAAACATAAAGTCATTTAAAATTCTTATAAAGCTCGTTTCGACGAGCTAGTAATAATCATTAAAACTTTTCAAACAGTATATTTTTCATTGTAATGTGTAAAAGCGATGCTTGAAATGGACAATTTTAATTTTTCTTCGGAACAATAGATGAGACATTTATGTTATGATGCGAAAATAACAGACCAATTGCTGTAGGGTAGATTATTTTATGTTGACATCTATCTCGAAAAACCTAGATAATATTTCACTAAGGTATATTGTATTTTAATATGCCCGGTGGATGTTAGTCCACCTTATTGTTTTGAAATAAACATTATTCTAAAGTTGCAAATTTCTATTTGTGTAGCAAACCTTTACTTGACTTGAGAAGATAGAATTGAGTTATAAAATACTAAGTATTTGTCGTCGCGTTTGAGTTATTTTTTTTTTTTTTTATCTGTTGAAAGTCTCAACACGAATGATTTTTAATAGTTTATCAAAAATTAGAAAAGTTAAACAGAAAAATTATTTAAAAAGTAACAGAAAATTTCTTATAACAAATAAGATAAAAGCTAGTTATGACACAATAGAACTTTTGTGATGTTATATAATAAGAATTGTACACTTGTGGCTAATATTATTAAAAATATTAATTTAAAACTTCAAAATATTTAATTAAAAAAAACCAAAGAGAAATAAAAATGGCATATATGTATTTTGAGAATAATGTCAACACACTCAATGCTAAAATCATACTGACGCCCTGACCGAAAAATACTCCTTTATATACCCCTTATGACGTTATCACCAAGTGTATCACTAGTTGATTGTCTCATTTTGACAGATTACATATATAAGTTTAATAATAGAATTTTCAGTGGGTATAAATCCCAATGAATTAAATTACTTTTATTTTTAAAAATGTCTTTTACATCCCTTATATTAAGTACTTTATAATTATTTTCGTTTTATTAGTTTTAAGGTTTTAATGGAGTGATTATGTGCCAATAAATTCAGCTATATAAAATTTATCAACTTCTTGATTTTTAATGTTTTATTAGTGTTCTTTAAACCTGACCTCTAAATTTCGTTTGAATTTTTAATGTTTGTCCCACGTAATTCCGTAGGATAAACGTTTAAAAATAATAAATTGATAAATCTCTTATAGCGGAACATTTATCAGCACACAATCACTCCATTAAAACAATAAAACTAATTAAAAACGATAATGATTATAAAGACCTTAATATAAGGGAGACAATAGAAATGTTTAAAATAAGAAATAATAAATGTTAACAAACACTCACATTGTGTTTTATAAATGCCAGACTTTTCCCGATGTTAGTGATGTTATTTAAAAGTAGGTACGAGTTGACAAAAAATACATACATAATTGTATTAAATAAAATAAATATATATATAAATTTTTTTTTTTTTTAGATGGCCTAAATTCTAGGTAATCAAATTTTTAATTATTATTATAAAGTTTTTTAGATTATCTTCAGTGATAATCTAAAGAATAACTATTTGAAAATTAATAAATACTTGAAATATATAAATTTTTTGTCTGGTTTTGCTCGATGCAAATAAAAATACTTTTATTTATAAATGCTGAAGAATTTCTTAAATTTAAAGTGAGAACCTTATGTTAATAAAGAGACTTTCAAAACGTATTTGAACTAAAATATTCAAACTCATGATGTTTATCAACAAAAGTGGTTAGTCTACTCTCTTACTTAAACGATATGAACTATTTGTAAATATTCAATGCTTAAAAATAAAATTAGTTTTGTTTTGGAATATATTTTTACGGTAAATTTGCAATTATAAATATTTTAACACATGGCCATCTCAAGATAAATATAAAATTTAATCGTTTTAGTCGGTAATTTATTATATAGAGCATTCTAAGTATTAAAAAATATCACATAATTAAAAAAAAATTATTCAATCAGGAAAAATAAATTTTTCATGCACTTGTATTTTAAAATTCAAGACGCCCTTACTTCAGAAAGAAGAATACCTAAAGCATAATATAAACATAAACAGAAATTTTATTAATAGAAATATATGATAAACAAAGCACAATTTATTAATTTGAATTACACAAAATAGTATGTAATAGTAACTTAGTCTTTTCATATCTATGTGCAGTTATTTTTGTTATGTTATCATAAAAGTACCAGATAATCATTTAATAAATATTTATTCATTTAACAATAAAGAAACATTAAGTAATATAACAATATTTTACGCAATAATGCAACAAGAAAATAATATGAATTCTTTTAATAGAGATAATTAGCTTTTTAGGAATACTAAACATCAACAATATTTTTTAGTAACAGCCGATTTTCGTTTTCTTTTAGTCGCCGTTTTTACTGGTTGTAATTCATTACACTTATCAACATTAGATTGATTAACTTCCGATAAAGTCTCTTCAGTTTTAATGGCAAGAACTTCAGGATAAGCCGTCTTAAGTAATAGTGTCTCGATGGCGATGCGAGCTTTTAACTTTTTTTCTGGCGAAAGTGCAGAGAAAGTAGGTAATAGACTAAGTAGAAAATGTTTATCGTCAGAAAAGTTTTCATCTTGATAAAGAGAAGACGAGCAGATTTCTACGCCATTATCTGTCGATCGCGCTACAGTAGAATTTGAATGTTTATCTTCGTCCACTCCTTCAGTCATTTCAACCTCGGGATAAATATTTTGGAATTGAATATCAGCTAAATATAATGAGTTTGAAACGGAATGTGATATTTGATCTTTAATAAACATCATACTTTGAAAATAAGGCCATTTAGATATGTCTTGACCATTTTCTAAGGATAAACATCGTTTGTATTCTTTGCGAAAATGATCTTTTAAATTCTTCCATTTTCCACGAGCAGTCTTTCCTAAAAAAATTAAACGTATCATTAAGAACTGTTATCATTTTCTTTCTGAACAAAATTTAGGATCTAGGAAAAAAGTCATCGAATCTTGAAAATCCTGAAAAACGCTGTATATTATCACTAATATAATTATAGTATTATAAGAATAATGACCAAACTTATGCTGAGTCCTTTTTTATTCACAATCTCTTAAAAATATGTCTAGATTTTATAAATAAATTAATAAATAATTATAAAAATACTTTGAAGAATTCAATAATATTTCTTTATTTCCACTTTTCAATATAGGGTCAAGTGGGGTAAATGGAAATGAAATTTACATGTTATACAACTTTTATTATATTCATGTAGTAATAATTTTTTTTAATTTTGGTTTAGATAAAAACTATTTAAATATATACAATATGTGTCCTACATTTCAATCAAACGTTAAAATAGTTGATTATTTTAAATGAAAAAAATAATATAAAATTGCATAAAAAATTTACATTTGCCCATACTTCTAGGGTAAATGAAAATAACTATTTCCAACAGCAAGTGTTATATTGAATAAACATAATGGGCAAATGAAATTGTTCTGTTACAGCTATCATTATATTATTTCATATATTCGATACCTACAAATTTCCATTTGTCCCAAATAGTATATTGTGTATGGGGTAAATGAAAATTAAAGTATAGTTGATAATGTTATAAGCCTGGGGCAAATGAAAATTTGTTTGAATTACATAAATTACAATTAAATTAGTCAAATAATTAGATAATCTTTATTATTTTAACATAATTTAGTACAGTTTAATGCTTACTTACTACTTCATAAACTTTCAAAATATATTAACAGTCTTTTCTTTTTTAATAATAGTGATAATAATACATTAATAACATAATAATAACATAAAAAATAACAATGTAAAGTAAAAATTATAAACAAAATAACAAACTTACATCATTTTTAGTTTTAAAATATATCACTTAAATTAATGTATGAATAAGTAGGTAACATAGTGCCTAAACTGATTATTTTTCATCGACATTTATGTATCCAGGAAATGTGTATATCGTTTTTCTGTTCTTCTTATGTTCAGTTGGTATTGGTAATATTGCAAGAATCATCTCTACTGTAATATCTGACAAGTCATTTTCAACAATATAAAAATCAGTTCCAATTTCATTATTTTTTTTTAATCCTCGGACTAAAATATCCCCATCATCTTCATCTACACGTTTAACTAAACATACATACTTAAAATGTTGTTTCTTAAGGTTCTCTCCAATAAAATCTATTAAAATAAATACTCCAGGTTTTATTTGAGACCAAATTGGTGTATTGTATAAAACTTCTTCAATACTTAAACCTAATGAATTGTCATTACAATCATCTTCTGATGAATGATAAACTACATCATTAATATTATCAATTGATTGTTCCAACACAATATTTTGTACATCTTTAATAGCTTTCTTATGTCTCCCAAGTTTACTAGGATATTTGATTAGCTTTTTCTTTGAGGTTGCTTCCTCCAATTATTTTAACACATTTTTATTTGTTAAAACTTCACCATACTTTGTTACTCTAAGACGAGGAACTCGGTCTTTTGTAACACAAATTGTATTGTTAGTTTTATATTGTATTAATTGAATTGAAAAAATAGATATTATATCTTTTGGGCTTACTGAGATATTATTACTTGATGTTGGAAAAATGTAGTCTATAAAAGTGTTTGACGTGAAGGTTCTAATGAAATTTGATTTTCTACAACTGTTAATATGTTTTTTTGATATAATTACGCATTCTGAAGTTGAAAAAAAAATGATAAAGATCATAATATTTCAAATTATATTTGTTATTAATATTTCCATTTACCCCAAAACCAAATTTCCATTTACCCCAATTGATTTTTATTTTGTATTTTACAAAAAAAATATAATTCCATAGAAAAAGTGATATTAAACTAGTTTTAGGGCCGTATAGTAAATAAGTAAATATGAAATGACAATTTAGTTCAAACTGTACTGTTCTACTTATATTTNAAAATAACAATTTAGTTCAAACTGTTCTACTTATATTTTTGATGAAGATGCCCTTCTCAAAAGCCGTTGAGAAGAAAATATAATCTAAAATAATCATAAACACTTTTTCGAGTGATAACAATTTATACATATCCTCTAATTTTTCATATTTTTATCATTGCACACTATTATACCTTATGTGTACTGTGGTTATAATGATACCGAATTCTATAATCACTAATAATTTATTTTAAATAATATTTTTTTCCTTTTGCCCCAATTTCCATTTACCCCACTTGACCCTAGTATACTTCATTATAAATTTTAAATTAATACCTTTTAATAAAAATAACTTCCATAGTTTTATTTATTATGCTTATATTATTTAATAAACCACTTTAATTAAAATATAATAAGTTTTTAAAATTTTCAAAAAATTATAAATGTACAGATTATAATTGAGATATTTAGAAAAATTATTGATTATATTATAGAAATGTAATTTTTATATGGAATCCTATATAAAACTTATTCCTACCAAAAAGTTATGAATAATTATGAGTTCAAAATGTTGTAAAATATAGTAAATGCCATACAATTTTGACGTTTCACAAAATTGAATTTCCTTTAATGACATACATATGTAATTTAAATAATTTAAAGAACTTTTATTTATTCTTATCACACCACGAGTTGTAAATTATTAGCAGAAAAATAATCAAGTTAGGACTTAAGTACGTATTATGACACAAAATGTTATCTGTTAAAATTTTTTTTTTTTACGATATCTAATAAAATAACTGAAGAATAATTACTGTTATATTGCACAGAATAAATGGTATGTTAAAATATAAAAATATACCGTAAATAATTTTATGTTTAATATAACACTCAATTAATCTGTATAATTATTTATTGATAAATTCTAGTTAATAATATGTTTTGATCTTTAAACAAATTTTTATTTCCTTGGAAACGCATTTATTTTGTATCTAGAGAATTTATTTTTGTGATAAATATGTATTTAATAAAAATAATATTTAATTAGTTTTGTTCGTTACATTAAAATGTGAACATAAAAATTATATTTAAGGAGATCACAATATCAAAAAAACGATTTTTCTACAAAAACGTTCACTGTCCTCGTAGCAGTTAACAGTGTAACTAAGAGTTGTGTACGGGAACGTGCGGCCGGTAGAGAAGTTGCGTTTCAAAATGTTGACACCACGTGGTGTTGGGGTAGCCGTCGCCGGAACGTGTGAACGTACCTTAAAACGCGTCGTCATTGCCGTCGCTAGCGTCTGGCGGCCGCCGCCAATGCCACCGGCGCCGTGCTAACCTTATTGCGATAGGACAAGGAAGGGGGAAAGATTATCATGGTCGGATGCGCGGGTTTGAGACAACAACAACAACGGTGTTCACAACGTGTGTAGCCACTGTTTGCAGGAGTAAGTAAAAGCGTATCAATAAAAATGAAACAATGATTAACGTCTATTTCAGTAACGTAACAGTCATCGAAGCAACTAAAGTAAAACATTGACCAGCGCACAATAGGCATAGTCCGTGTTAAATAGTTATTTTGTTAGGAAAATATTTGCATTGGTGCTTTACCGTTAATACTGAGCGTTCCGGCAACGTCTTCCCAATGATGGTCCAACACTGATCTATTGTGGTGTTGTGGGTGCTGTCTGTCCCATAATTCGGGACGACTACACACTTCTTCTATAAGGCGACCGGTGTCCAACAAATTTGATAGTCGGCCGTCCATGTGGTTGATGTTTCAAAGTAGAAATGAACGGTTTGTAGGGAAATTCAGATAAAATTTACTGAGGTTAGGTTAGTGCGAATACGTCATACACGTATGAGTTCTGAGTTTCACTGGACGTGTACCCGCTCCCGCTGCAAGCGGACGGTCGCCACCAGTTTGTCGATTCGGCGAGGCCGTCGCCACCACAGTCGTGCCAACGTTAATAGCGGCGACTCCGCTATCGGATTTAAACCAAATCGCTCCGCCGTCGCCTTCCATTAACCTGTGGTCAATATAATGTGATACTTCTCTTATCACGATCAGCAACTTAACGTAAACACACTTCAGTCGCCACCGGCACAATTACCTAATTGCAATATTGATCACAAATAAACAACAGCAATTCCATTACACAAGTTTGTGTTTTAAAATTATTATTTATATTTAAAATACTTAATATTTCAGACATATTTTTGAAAGCGTTTTCTCAAAAGCTGCACAAAAATATCGTAACTTACACTGAACACGATTACTTCATTTGATTTTACTCTTCCTGTTTACAAGATGATTACTTTAAAGAAAATCAGCCGAAAGCCTTGAACGTGCGTTTACTTGGGAAAGAAAAATTTCAACAAATAGTCGAATGAGATAAACATCATCCTCGTGTTTCACAGTAAAGATAAACAGCTGTAACTTCCTAAGAAGTTCGCCAAATTTATATTAAAAGCTGTTCACGATTTCACCTTTTAGGAAATCGTTATTGGGTTAGATCCGAACTGCATTAGTGGCGTACTTAAGGAAACACAGCTGCCGTCAATATTTAGTATTGCTAATGAAACATGGTTGCTTAAATATAAAATGAAGTAAAAAGTATTAGTGATGACTTTTCACGTATAATCTTGTAAATAATTAAATAAGCCAAGAGCACGCCACTGAAACCGAATATAAAACTTACTCATCAAAATTTACTTAATATTTTTGTTTTGATTTTGTGTCGAGGATGATGAAAATCGAACTCTGTAAATTTAATAATTATTATTCAAAGACAATTTTATCATAAAACACAGACCTTTAGTTCCATATTATAATACAACCGATATTTTCGACAGATTCAATAAAGAACATGTAGTGTAATTTATTTACTTTACTTATCTTTACTTACGCATATTTTTAATTAAGTTCGCGTTATGTTAAAAAAACTTAGTTCGACAGCATTTTAATACATCCATCGTAGTTACACTAAAAACAATATTTTTTTCATTTAATTTATATCCTCTCCAACACTTAATACACAAATATATTTTTAACTCGCCTTATGCATACAAACAGGTAAGTCACACTTGGGCGGTAATGGTCTATTTTGAATTTATGATCCCCTGGCGCCAAATGACATAAAATGGTGGCCTTTTTCCTCGAGAACTTGAGTGAACATTTACATAAAGGAACATTAAAACCTATAGAATACCCCGTAAAATAAACACATAAAATCGTACAGTTTACTTTAAAACTTAAATTGTTGAGATTTTTGCATTGTCATATAATATCAAAGAAAAATAAAACTAATCTGTAATAAATTAAACATAAGTGATACTTTAGTTAATGTCATAACAACAAAACTATTTGGTCTGAATTTTTATTATTACTACTCCTATCTGTATAAGATACACTTTTTGATAGCTACTAATACATTTTTATTGACAAAAACGTTTGACTGCAATTATAATTATAAAATTTTGTAATTAATACTAAAATCAACAATGGAAATTAAACTAATTTTTTTTTGACAAAACAAAAATGTATTAAAAGGAAAATGATAAAAAAAAAAAAAATACTTTTAAAAGTAATTATACCTTATTTAAATACCGGTAAAGATTTGAAATTAACTTCAGGATATACAGTAAATAATTTGTTTAATTAATTATACTTTAATAATAAAATACAGGTATTTTCAAATTATTTTATTTATGACTACAGTATTTTGCCGTTCAATACAGCTAATCAATTGTAGCATTCGTAAGTAGCAAGAAATCTCTTTATCATAAATTATTGCAGTCGATAAACTTTAAATTACAAAAATGATTTTGCCAATTAAACTAAAATAATATTACTCGAACGTCTGGTCATAAAACTCGTAAATTTTACCATACACTGTTTGTACATGTAAAATTCGTTCGCTTTAAAATACTTGGAATAATATAAATAATAATGCTGACAATATATTTAATTATGAATTTCAAAATCAAAAAAAAACTTGATAGTAAGTATAAGTAGCCAATAGATAACAATATACCATTTCTATATATATATAAGGGATAGAAAACGTTTTTATTTTTTTTTTAATTATATGTTATTCAATAAAATCATTAGTTTTAATTATTGTGGTATTATGTTAAGATATTGTAATATGTTAGGCATTTTTAAAACATAAAAGAATAATTCATGAATTTTATTTAATTTTTTATTAAATTGTGGGATTTGAAACAACTTTTTTGGTTTCGTTACGAAACGAAATGGAAATATTCAATTCTAGACATTATAATTGAAATAAAAAACTAATTTAACCAATTTTTTTTTTATATATGAATGATTTAAAACCACTTGGGAAATCTATTTATGTAAAAAAAAAATTCTATTATAATCAACATTCTTGGATTTATTTATTAACAATAGAATAATTTTTTTAAAAAATAACGTTTTTAATCGTTGTTATAGTAAAATATAACATTCATTTTTCATTTGTTTTTAATTAATACCCTTTTAATGGTAACTGCAAGTTAAAATTTAACATTTTATCAGGTAGTTCTACAGCATTTTTTTAGTTTATTGTTAATTTTTACACGATTCGACGATATTTGTGAATTGATTAATTCAAAGCGTTGAATAAAAATGTCTTCTCAGTTATTTGTCCTTATGCGTTAATTATTTTTCATTAATTAAGGCTATGATAAAATGGATATATGTAATAACATTTGATATTTTAAAAACACATTCATCATTATTTTTAGGAAAACAATATGCTTATAAGAGTTACACAAGTAAAATTATATTTATGGTACATACTTAAATAATTTCTCATTGTCTTGCGTAAAATAAAACTTTATTTGCTGAAAACGGTTTTTTTGCAATGAAGGTAAAAATTTACATCGTAACTAAAATCTCTAAGGAACTGATAACATTGTTAAATATCTTAGAATATTATTCTAATTAAGTAATAACCATTAAGAATAAAAAGGTGTGACGATATATTATTTATTTTTAAATATTTTAAAAATGTTATCATTTTTTTATGTTGTTTACTTTTGTTTTATGGATTTTTTGAGTTTTAATAGTTAATGTAACAAAGAATGTTCACTGTTGATGTATAACATTTTTACCGAACAAAAAAAACAAATTTAATTAATTTTCTATCTAGGTGATATTCACCTGTCCATTATTAGATATCTATTCACAATAAAAATTACATTTTTTTTATGCTAAACAATAATTATTAATATATTTACTTTATGAACAAACTGAATCATTGTTGTTCCGAGTTTAATCATGATATTAACAAAAGACGGTCAAGCTTGAAGGCACATCTGCTTCTTAATAAAAAAAACACTATTTAATGTAATGCCACAATAAATAAATAAAAAAAACCCGTAAAAATATTTTATTAGTATTCTTAATCTATTAAAATAAGAAAGTCTCATTTTTTTTTTTTTGATACGAGTCAGTCAAAGAAATAAATATTAAATATTTTCCAATTGTATTTTGCATTAAAAGTTTAATGAAATTGAAATGAACAGTGTATAAAGTAGTTGGTGATCATATTATGAAATAGCAACAGTATTTTATTTTGAAGGCTTGTACAGCTATAACTATGTTATATTATACTCAAGTCTTCATTAAATTAAATTAGCAAAATGTTCATAATTTCACGTAGATAGTGATAGTTCAAAAAGCGTATTCAGATATTAGTATTCATATAATTAGTACATCGTTTATGAGTATATATTTTTAAACTTTACTCGAGTGCAAACAAAAGTTCAATTAGAACTACAAGAAATAAGAACGCTGTTATATTCGCATATTGTGATAAATTTCTTCTACTTATACATGGCCATTACATTTTACAGTTTTTACTGTCTGACAAAGTTTACAAATTCGTGCACTTGTCTACTAAAAATGACGAAAACAATTAAAATAAAGTAATTAAGAAAAATAGCTCTATTAAGTTTTAGTACAACACCATCAAAGTAAATTACACTGTCTCGTTTAATTAAAAATAACTTTTATTATATTTTTTACTTAAGTAGCAGACAATGTTGGACGCAGTTTATTATTATACTTCATAGAATTTAAAAATAAATATAACTTAAAACATCTTCGATTATTCTAAAAAATTTAATTTTAAAATGATGAAAGCGTATGGTTTTGTTAAATTTTTTTTACATAAAAATGGCTTTTAGGCGATCTCGTTAAGACATTCGAAATATTAGCGTTCACTAATTCAATGATACTGTATAAATTTTTTAAGTTTAAAAGAAAAAATACGGTTATTAAAGTGTGTACAGTTAGACACTGTCAATTTTTTCAGATGATTTATTTATTAATGTTAATTATTTAAATATTTATTTCACTTGTTTGTAAAAACTTTTGAAAGTACAAACAAAGTAAGTTGCTGACTAATGCATTTAGAAATACTGTGTTATATTTCACAAAAAACAATTATTTATTATTTTAAAAACCTGATTAATAAAGTTCTATGAGTTATATAAAATAAAATAAACTAAAGATTCGTCAATCCCGTCGACGTTTTTAGAATAAACGCCATTATTCGGAATGAATAATAAATGATTGTTGTAACAGTATAAATTATAATTACTGCCGATTTTATTTATTCATTAATTTAATGATGAATATCTCGATATCAATAAAACAGCATCTTTCCGATTGTGTTCACGGGTCCCGTTGTTTTTTATACGACAAGGGAAACTCGTGTGAGATCGTTAAAAAACGGCACGTTCAATGATGTTCGAAGACAACCCAATCAATTAACATTTAAACGGCGTGGTCAATATTGAAATCAGCGTTCAATATTCGGGTCCCAAAACGTTAAACATCATTAAAATCACCGATCCAATTTCATTGTCTGCCTGTTGTCCGTTGTGATGTGTTTGACGGGCGGACAAGTTGCGATAAACGGTACACGCCGAGGCAATAAATGTAATTACTGTTTTGTCCGTTTAGAGTATCAGTGGCCCAAAATATGAAGCGTAATGGGTTTTAACGATGTCTCGAAATCACTTTGAGGTAAGAGACAACATCGATCATGGCAGTGAAATAGAACCGCGTGTGCGCTGCTGACACCGGAGCCGGCAGCGACGACTGGCCGGAGAGTTGCATGACGAATCGGTTGAGAGAAGAATACGTTTACAAACCGAGTTAAACGTCTTGGCTCCGGCCGCGTGATAACGAGCCGGTAGATGAGCCATTCTATCGCAATGATATTATGCGTGCCAGCGGTTCGTCAAGTGCTATCGGTAACAGCGCTTAACGACGTGTAAACCGATTCTTTAAAAAATCGTTACTTGATTACATCGACTTTATTATTATTATTATTCACCGTATAACGGCCCCACTAGGATCGATGTGATTTATCGATCGTCACAAACGGTACGCTGCGTACGGTCCGAGTCGTGTACGCCGCACAAATTATGACGTATTCCTTTTTAAGACCACTAGGCTCGACCAATTTATAACGTGTCAATTCATATTTACCGGATAAGGAGCTGCCCGAAGACAATCCCTGCGCGATGACCGATTTGTTAGGAATGCATCTGCCCGGCCGGTTTGTTCGGAACACTAGAAGCGTCCAATCGATCATTTCGATATGATACTTTTCCATTACAGATTGCACAATAAATATTATGTTTTAGTCTTTGCGGATATTGCACTTTGCCATTCAGCCCACGCACACCGAATATGATGTGCACACGTCTTACCCGAACGACAAACTAGAATTCTCTAAACCTTAAAATATTAATCATCCCAGAGTCATCCACGTGACTTAAAAATACAGACATTTATAAGTCGAAGATTTGAGTAATCGATAAACGTATTGAGCTTTCTACTGACGTCTATCAAACTTTTACGGATATTTTTACTTGAATAAATAAAGTGTCATGTTAAATAACGCATGGGAATTCAAAGTCATATCGACAACCATTTATAGTTTGCGCAGTAAAGATATTCTAACTTATAATTATTCATATAACAATTTCTACAATTTTTGAATAAAAAAAAAAAAAAACATTGTTTTGCTCTTAAAAATACCGGATTGGTTGCAACAAGTAGCTTGGCGTTGACTCCTTTACATTTAATACATTTATAGTTTAGAATGATTTTTGGTCACTTTAAACGAGTAAAATCATAATATAGATTCATTAAAAGAATCTTGGACGATAAAACGAATCCCATTAAGTTAAAAATCTTTGTTATATTGATTGTAAAAAAGATCCGTCGGCGATATCAACAGCTGAATTACAAGTCGTTTCGATTAATTAAATTTTTTCAAAGTTTATTTATACCTTGAAAAATAATTTATAGTTCGTCTTGTTAAGTCCATACTTAATATTTATACAAACAGTGGTGTGTGTGTGTGTTTTTGCTGTAGTTATGATGAACACTTTTTACCGTATAAATTACGGGACTAAGAGTTTCAATATTATTACTAAGTGTATGTATTATTGATGCGTTTACGATTTTTAAAAAACAAGTTCGAACAGTACACTGGATTATCTTTTAAATTTTTCACCGTGCGGTATGTACTGTGGTAAATTTCATATCATCTCAGATACAGATATTTCACTTGTATGAATTACTCCATTCGATTGACAAATAATTCGAATACTAGCTGTGTCATGTATGTAGAATTCTTGAAAAACTTGCCCTCAGTCGTTTAAAAAGGATTGATTGTCAGGGTAATGGACTTTTCGGCGTATAAAGCAGTTGTAACGACTTAGGATTCACAATAATTATAGTAAACGGAAATTTACTAAACCGAGTGAGTAATATGCAGAACGCAGCGAGGAAAACTATTTATCACCGTACGGACTTTGCTTCCAACGCGACGAGGGACTAACCTCGGCCCAATAAACAGAATCAGTGGTCGTAGCAGTGACGTATGTATTTTACGACGGCAATAGAATTTTAGCTTTGCCGGTAATTAATTTCAATTTATTACTTGTACAGAACTAAACTTAGCCAAACAAC